CACAGCGCCTGTGGGCTTGGCTAGCCACTAACCATCCCGGAGCCTGTACTCATAGAAGCACCAAGCAATATTCCCTGAACATACTCCCATTTGCAATAGGAAGAGCCATTTTGACAACAAAGTCTTCCAGTGGCCAAGTGGCCAGTGTCAGAATTTCTGTCATAAATATTGCTATCAGGCCATTGCATCTCAGCTGTAAAAACTTGCTCCAGGTTGATATTTGGCAAACAAGACCCAGCAAAATAATCCTTTTTCAAACACAGTATCCTATTTGGGTAATTTACAGACATGAAAATCATGAAGTGTGCAAGAGTGGGCCCCACTGACACCTTTGCGGATTCATCTCTGCTGATACTGTGGCCATCAGGGGAAGTGAGTACCCGGCCACCCCAAAGCGCTGGCTCCGGGGCTCTCCTTGGACCTCCAGACACCCTGAAAGGTTCAGATAAAAATGCTGCGAAGGCACAGGGCAGAGCAGACAAGCTGCAGTCAGTGACGAGACCCAGAGAAGAGCCTCCCCAGGAGAAAAGCCCATCTCCTGGAAACGCACACATAGCAAGACACAGGTCTTTTCACACAGGTGAAGAGCAGCTGCTGGAAACCCCCAGAGTCCTACCTAGCCATATATGTGCCTCCTTCTAGATCTGGAGTAGCCAACTTTTCCATGTAAGTGAAAAAAATTGCATCCAGTTCTATCTCAGAGATAGTGTCTGATGTTGCTCCAAAGCTCAGACAGCTTCTTGGTCATAATGCCATAACGCTGCACTGGCTTCACACTCCTCTTCTGTTTTGAAAGGTTTCCTGTGGACTGTACCACATCTGACAAATGCTTTGGTGGAAAACATGTCATCCACTGGCTCCTCTAAATGGAGATTTCCAGGTCTGCACAGAATATTCCCAGGAAAAATAAGTGGTTAAATGCAACAGAGCTGGAAAACTCAGCATTGAATAAATGTTAGCAACTCTTTATGTATCTATGTTAAAGTATTCAGGATTTACAGTCAGAAATACTCTTTTCACTGATTTCATTATTAAAATCCTGTTACAGGTAAGCGTTTTTTTTAAATGCTGACTCTCATTTCTAAATGCCCTGAGGGAACAACAGCTACAACAGCAAAATTAGGAACCCATTACTGAAGATAAAATTAGAATAACTAAGCTTGACACTATACAGGGAAAATGCAGTGTTAAAATGTATGAGGTAAAATGTTTTCTAACTATCTCAATGTTAAACTTCATTTTGTCCTTGGAAGGAGCAAGGGCAGGAATTTCTGACAAGCTACTGCATTATGAAACACAACTGTGTTTTGTGCAAGTTACATGCCAAATCCGTATATTTTCTCAATATAGTTAAGGCCAAAGAGGCTTAATATGATATTTTTAATTAATTTTTAATTAACAAGATGGTTTTTAAAATGCTTTTAACCCTCCCTTCCTTTAGGATTGTGATTCAGGGAAGTACACAGAAAATAGATTACTTTTAATAATAGTTTACTTTTCAGTCCTGCTTATACAGGACATATGGAGGGATCTCTCATGTGACAGAGATTCTTTGGCAAGCATGAAGAAGCCACTGCTATCATATCTACCATCTCCATGGCAAAAGCAGCAGAAGGTGGCAGGTATCTACCTATCTGGACTACGGCAACCACTCAGATGATAGATACTTCATGGCAAAATTTCTTAGCATAGTATCATGGTTTAACCCCAGCCAGCAGCTCAGCCCCACACAGCCGCTCACTCACCCCCCACCAGTGGGATGGGGGAGAGCATCGGCAGAGCAGAACTGAGCAAACTAAAACTCATGGGTTGAGATAAAGACAGTTTAATAGCTAAGGCAAAAGCTGCACGCACAAGCAAAGCAAACCGAGGAATTCATTCACTGCTTCCCATCAGCAGGCAGGTGTTCAGCCATCTCCAGGAAAGCAGGACTCCATCGCACCTAACAATTATCTGGGAAGACAAATGCCATCACTCCGAACATCCCCCTCTTCCTTCTTCTTCCCCCAGCTTTATATGCTGAGAATGACACTGTATGCTACGGGATATCCCTTTGGTCAGCTGGGCTCAGCTGTCCCGGCTGCATCCCCTCCCAGCTTCTTGTGCACTGGTGGGGTGGTGTGAGAAGCAGAAAAGGCCCTGACTCTGTGTGAGCACTGCTCAGCAATAACTAAAACAACCCTGTATTATCAACGCTGTTTTCAGCACAAATCCAAAACACAGGCCCATACCAGCTACTACGCAGAAAATCAACTCTATCCCAGCCAGAACCAGCAGACATAGGTAGGACTCATGTTGCAGAGCATATAGGTTTCCCTTCTCATTCCTGAACAAGTATCTTCACAAGACAGACATTCTCACATTGCCTGCGTGCAATGCACACACAGGTTGTGCAGGCTGGAGAATGCCAGTTCCTCCTCACAATCATGTTGAAAAATGCATTCCCCTTTTATTTTTTTCCAGGAGCAAAAAAAGAAACTGCGT